TGTGTGGTTTCTCAGCAGGAGGATTACGATCAGGTCTCCTTGGAGGACCAGCACTATCAAGGAGACGGCAGTATGATGAGCGCCAAAGCCAAGCTGCTATTACGAGATTCAAAGAAGGAGCTTTTGAGGTACGTGGGGGTTAAACGGCGAAGCAGCTGGTGTAATGTGATCTCCCCTTTGCTGTAGTGGTCAGTGTGATTATTATGAGTAAAAATAAATAAAAAAAAGAAGAAAAAGTGTAACTCCAAACCATGTATTCATTTGAGTGGCTCAGATTTGCTAGAAGTGGGTCAGAAAAAGCACACCGATGAAACTGGCTGTGTTACATGTGGCTGTGACTGGTGTGTCTGCAGGTTCATGTGGAGGAGAAATATATCTAATTGAAAGTGAGTTTTCTCCCCGTATGTCCCGCATCAGCTTAACACAACTCTTGTAGTTAGAGTGCATGCTCTGCTGGGTCTCCTGGTAGGATCCTGTAGTCAGCACAGCTCCCCCCTCAGATCTCCTCAGTGACACTCTGCCACATCATTAAACCGGATGTCGAGGAGCAACGCAATAATAATTTTCTACTAAACTTCCCCGCTGTACTAACTCTTTTTTTCTCTCTCTCTCTCTCTCTTTAATGCCCATGAAAAGGTTCTCAGTGTAAAAAAAAAAAAAGATTCAGTTCAAGCTTGGCAAAGTCTGTGGGAAGTGGAGTAATCTGCGTATTAAATGCTTTGTGTTCTCACGCAGCTGTCCGACCCCAGGCTGTGACGGCAGTGGCCATGTGACGGGGAATTATGCATCACATCGGAGGTACTGTAATTAATTACACTCTCATTAGCACCAGCCAACAGATATATAGACAAGGGGAAACGCTGCTTATTGTTTAATTATGTTGATTATTACATCTGGAAACTTGTCACATAGATGTTGTTTTTTTTTTTTTATATCACGTGTCTGTTTTTTTTTTTTTTAAATGCGCTGACATGAAACAGCTCGGCGCTGAAGTGGAGCCACAATAGTGTTTTCAAAATAAACGTGTATAAATATGCATTGAGACATTGTATTAAGATGATTTAATTCTGCTGTGATCAAAGAGTGAATTAAAATGACTGTTAGCTCTTTATCCTCTCTAGTGTGTCTGGATGTCCCCTGGCTGACAAAACACTCAAATCACTGATGGCAGCCAACTCTCAGGAACTAAAGTATGTGTTCTGAAAACTGTTGTTGTTGCTAAAGGATTTTTCACATTAAAGTAGGCAACTTGTTTTGGTTTTTTTTTTGCCTCAGCTCGGGTCAGCTGGGGTTCCTCTCCTTCCCTTCCCTCTCCTTCCCTTCCCTCTCTCCTCCGTGCACACATTAGGCGTGATTTCTATGTACTCAACATGAAGTTGTTTGCTATTTGTGCTACTTTTCTGCATATTAGCATGAATCCGCTGCTCCGCTCGCCAGTCTTTTTGCTGTAAAAAGCACCTGGTCTCTGTGTCTCTCAACCTGCAGGTGCCCAACACCTGGTTGTGATGGATCTGGACATGTGACTGGGAACTATGCTTCGCACAGAAGGTAGCTGAGAGAAATCAGCACAACTGAGCATGAAATACATTTGTCAGATGCATGGCATTCAAACAGATGGTGAAAGTCTCACTTTATGCTGCAAACATGCTGCACTTTTTGATTTCTTGCTTTTGTGGATTCATTTGGCTGCCTTTCTATCCATCTATCTATCCATCTATCTATCTATCTATCTATCTATCTATCTATCTATCTATCTATCTATCTATCCATCCATCCATCCATCCATCCATCCATCCATCCATCCATCTATCTATCTATCTATCCATCCATCCATCCATCCATCCATCCATCCATCCATCCATCCATCTATCTATCTATCTATCTATCTATCTATCTATCTATCTATCTATCTATCTATCTATCTATCCATCCATCTATCTATCTATCTATCTATCTATCTATCTATCTATCCATCCATCCATCTATCCATCTATCTTTTATTTATTCCATGTGTTCCATTGAGCCTCCTCGGCGCTCACAGCTGCCCGTACGATCGTAGCTCCTGAGTAGCTTCTCCTTCACGTTCACTCGCTGTCTCCGACCATTTTCAGCTTGTCAGGATGTCCACGTGCCAGAAAAGGAGGTTTGAAGCTCACACCAAACAAGGATGACAAAGATGAGCAAGAGCTTAAGTAAGAGAGAGATTTTTTTTTTCCTCCTTTCTTTTCTTTCTCTCATCCTATGCTGTCATGTGTGTGTGTTTTATTTGTTGTTGTTGTTTTTGTTTGTTTTAAAAATAAAACAAGAAAACAGAGCGGCTGTGCGTCATGCTCGCTGTGCCCGGGGCTTTATACCTGGAGGCCATTAAGTTAAACAAAGAAAATAATACTTCTCTTGTCCCAACATTAGTGAATTATTTTCTAAAGGATTAGCAGCATGTTTTGTAGGCTTTTTCCAGGGTTTTTGTATTTTTTTCTCTCCCCCCCTCCACCCTTATTTTCTGAATGGAATATCTGGCTTATCACTCCTCCCTGAGTGCTTTCTTTATAATTATAGTATATGAAGAAAACGTCATTGTTGTCTGTGAAAAAAAAATATAATAATGTAATTGATTTGCAGTTTAAATCCAAAGTCAGATATATGAGCCCTTGTTTACTTCTACATCTGGACACTGATTTTTTTTTTTTTTTCTTTTTAATTACTAATGCAAGGCCATGAGCTTAGGAATTAGACTGGAATAGATCTCATACACATTAAGAGAGAAAGGCAGAGACAGGGGGAGGGTAGCAAATGTCCCTAGATTATTGTAAATAGTGGGCCATATGGCATGCCTCCATTGTCCGGGTGCCTTGCATCAAGCTACCTACCTGTGGTGGCTGTAAGTAATGGGACCGGTGTTGTTCCGTCCTCTAAGTGCTGCTGCTGCCGTGCTGTCGAGCAACAAAATGCTGAAACAGGCTTTTTGCGGCAGCACTCTGCGGCGCGCGTGCCATTTGTATCATCTCAGGTGACCTTTCACCTTTATCAATAAGGGAAAGGGCGAGCCACCTCCAAATTACATTCTTTCGCACGAGGGGATACATGACAATTATCTGTAATTCATGTCACTCCATTACTGACCTGCAGAAAACAGGCCCCCGAAAATGCAACTGACAAACTCTTAATGATATTCAGCACGAGTTGCGCTCCTGTTTTCAAGCACAAATATCGCTCACCTCGAAATGCAGGCGGCGCCGAGCCGAGCGTTCGCTCAAGTTTCACTGGATTAGCAACTCCTAGTTAATGTGATTATTTGAGTCCGTTTCTAGTTTTGGCGACTTGGTTTTTAATCAGCATTTGCATGGATTAATCAACTTAATGGTTAACAAATCTTCCGGTCTAGTTATTGAAAGAGATTTTTTTAAATGATCTCAGAGAATGATTTTTAAAAAAAACACAAAGTAGTTGTTTTTTGTTGTGTGTGTGCAGCTGAATGATTGTGTTTAAATGCAAGCGTGCTGCATTTTTCCGCTGCAGGTTTTCAGTGTCCACAACTCTCTGTTTGTCTGTCTGGTAGGTGTCCAGTAATCGGATGTGACGGGCAGGGCCATATATCGGGAAAATACACATCCCACCGCAGCGCAGGCAGTTGTCCACTGGCTGCCAAAAGACAGAAGGAGTCGTCCATCAATGGGCTGCCCTTTGCCTGGAAGACCAATAAACAGGAACTGCCCCATTGTCCCTTGCCTGGCTGCAATGGCCTTGGACATGCCAATAATGTGTTTGCCACTCACAGAAGGTGAGCTCGCCTGTCCTCCATTTTATCTCTAAACAATGCCGCTGCTCCACTGCGTGCGTTCTCACTGTTACAGTCCGTCCGTCCATAATCTTTGCTCGATGCTAAAGTCGCCTAAACTTGTCGTTTGTGGCCTGCTGCTAGCTTGTCGGGTTGCCCACTGAACGCACAGAGCATCAAGAAGAAGCACTCAGAAGAGGAGATGATGACGATCAAGCTGAAAGCCAGCAGCGGTAAGCTCCTCTGACGCTACCTGTCGTTACGTTACATACACGAAAGTATGGATCCTCTCTGGCCGAACGTGATAAACCCGACTGTCCCCTCTGACCCAGGTGTCGAAAACAAAGAGGACATCCAACATCTGGATCACGAAATCAAAGAACTGAATGAGTCTAACATGAAAATAGAAGCAGACATGATGCAACTCCAAACCCAGGTAAGTATTTACTCTGACGAGCCGCGTTCTTGACGAGGCCAAAGGTTCCAGGTCTGTGCTCGCTTAATTTCTCCTTCGCTTTGTACCCGAAAGCAGATCTCGTCTATGGAATGTAACCTGAAGACAATTGAAGAGGAAAACAAGATGATCGAACAGCACAACGACAGCCTCCTGAAGGAGCTCGCCCGCCTTAGCCAAGCTCTCATTAACAGTCTTACAGACATTCAGCTGCCTCAAATGGTACAGTAAGCCTTGACCACAGACTCCAATACAACTCATTATGTCTAACCTGTCCTGAAAAGAAATCTCATTTTCTTCAAATTGTCGTTTTCTGCTGTGCTGTTTTCACTAATAGTCAAACATGTTTTTGTTGCAGGGACCCATCAGTGAGCATAATTTTGAAGCCTATGTGAACACATTAACTGATATGTACAACAACTCGGAGCATGAATACTCTCCAGAGTGCAAGGCCCTCTTGGATAATATCAAACAGGCTATTAAGGGCATCCATGTTTAAGCTGTAGAGCTACCAAGAGGTTTCTTTGACTTGGGATAATGGCACTAGATAGCTCTATTTCACTGAAGAGTGCTGGCTTGGCTGCATGTATAAGACAAGGCTTTCGGAAATGTGTTTGGCATTTCCCGGTAAATATACTGCACTGAGAAAATTACCAGCCGGATTTGTAATGCTTTTACTGTTTCTGCATTCACTTGATATGTTTATCCTGGTGAGATTTTTTGTTTTTGTTTTTGTTTTTATTGTTTTTTTTGTTTTTTTAAATCCCTCTCTTGCACTTAATTATTTTGTATGGTTTGCTTGATTTTAATCTGTACGTGTTCATGTCATTCTTATATTATCGCTATTTATTACTATATTTGTTCATCAGTGTATTTATTTCCTTGATTTTTATTTATTTCTAGGACTGTAAATGCTTAATATTTGAGAAATCTGTTTGACTTTCTGCACATTGTAAATTACATAGAAGCACATTCCAATTTCATGGCATACTTTCGCCATCTAGTGTTGAAAAACCTATATTATTATTATTATTATTATTATTATTACTATTATTATTATTATTATTAGACCATAAGTTGAATCTCCCTTCAAAGTGAAAACCTACCAAAACTACTAAGCGTTGATATTTTTAAGCATTGCTTTTTGCTTTCTTTATTGGAAACTGAATGTATGGTAAGACAAAGTGAACACTGAGATAAAAAAAAATAATAAAAAAAAGATGCAATGCAAACGTACTGTACCTTTTTCTACTCAACCAATAACAGTCGAATGCAACCAGGAGGTGAGCAAACATCGTGCTGTGAAGCGAATGTCCACATTCGGCTTTGCACAAAGCGTGCCACAAGAAGAGAGCAACGAAAATCAAAAAAATTCACTTTGTCAAGATGTCTTTTTCCTTTTTTTTTTCTTTCTTTTTTTTAAATATAGATATTAAACTGCCTTCTGTGCACACACGTTGGAGTGTGCATATAGTATGTGCCTAAATGTATATGAATCCATAAAAATATACAAGTACTATGTTTTGTGGTAGGACAGTATTACGTGGATGGTGTCTAATTTATTATACAGTACAATTATTTTCATAGGAGGAAACGTTCCTGATGACTGTTGAATACCGTTGTCTCAGTAGCTGTAATCTCAGAGTCAGGTTTTGAAATATCACGACTGAGATTGAAAGTCTGGTGTTTATTTTAATTTTAATTTAATTTTATTTTATTTTTGGCTGGCATGGAGAAGAGACAAAAAGGAAGGAGTGAATAAAAAAAAAAAGAAAACAAAAAAAAAACACAACAACAACATCTACTCCTGTCGTATCTAAAACTGCTTACAGGCCTTAACATTTCAACCAGTCTTACAGTTTGAATATCTTTGGGGCAGATTTGAATAGTAGCTATTTCAAAACCGAGCTGACTACCATTACAACTCGCATTTCAGTTTCAATCATTTAAACGCAAAAATGAAAAAAAAAAAAAAAAAAAGAAAAAAAAAAAAAAAAAAAAGCAACGAAAACATAGACAAATGATAGTTGTTGGCTAATCAGTTGTTTGTTTGCATCGATTGCACTTTTGTATTTGAATTATTTTGTGTTTTTTTCGTTCACCGCACTGCCCTCGACTTCAAAACCACAAGAAAACGGGACGCTGACGTCGCCACCATACGTCTGAATCTCTCGATTTCACATGATCCCCAGAGTTAAATGAGTAATTCATTTGAGCAATACATTTTTCATTTCTGCAAAAAAAACAAACAAACAAACAAAAGAAGTCAAAGACATGTAGCCGAGGACATTCTGAAGAAAAAAAAAGTAACAGCAAAAGAGCCAAATTACAGAAAAATAAGACCCTATTTTATCCAAATACTCGATATGTTTTAAAGAATTTTAATCTTTTAAAAAAACCGAATCACACTCTTTAAACCTAACAATCCTTTATTTATAATTTCGTATATTTAATTCCTATACCACACATTGTTTGCTCAGGAAGTTTTGTGAATAATATTTATTTTTTCCCTGTTAGTATTTGATGTTTTGTAATGTGAAATGCTTTTTTGTGGAACGATATTAGTATGATATGAAATTGTACTGTATTTTTCTTTTCTTTTACATTAAAATGTAATGCTTTTTTCAGTTGAGGTAGTTTGTAAATTGAAACTTCCTATTACTTTTACTATTTCATAATAAACAGATATGCGCTGTGTTGTACAGTTTGTGTATGGTAGAAATAAACTTTTCAAATGGTTGTGTGCTTTCTCAAAGCTGTGAGCCCACTTTCAGTCAAACTGGGAGCCCAGTTTTGCCACAAGGCTTCGGTTTCTGCGGTGCATGAGCGCCACCTAGTGGTGAGATGTATGAATTACATCTAGGAGGAGGAGAAATGGCTCAGTGGAGTTTTGATGCAGGCGTTTCTGAGCAGCAGCTGTGAAGCAGTTTGAGGTTAAAATCCAAAATAAAGGAGGAGTGAGACGCTCCAGTGAGTTCTGCTGCGTGTAAAACCCACAAATGGAAGCAAAGATGAGCTCAAATCAAATTATTGTGCACATTTCTACAACCTGCACTCAGTCTGGGGCAGCAAACATTTATCATTCACCTTTTAATTAATTGCCAAGCACATATATATATGATACATATATGATTATTTAATTCATTGTTTGGTTCAATAAAACACCAGAGTGGAAAAATGCAGATGATAATTTCTGACAGAACCACGTGGCGCCGGTCCAGAGCCTGAAGATGTTTACTTTGCTGTCACATCAGATGAAGAACAGCAGCAGATGCTCAAACTTCACAACAGTTGAAGGACAGTTTTTACTCTTAAAACATAAATAAATACAAATGATTGGTCAAATTATTATCAAAATAGTCAATAAAGTCTCCCAAGAGGAAACTAGCTTTGGTCCGTCATACACAATGACGAGCAAAACAACACATGAGACACATATTGCAGCACATTAGTGTAGCTAAAATAATGTATTTAATATAATTAAACTAATTAATAAGAAAATAAAACACCAATTTATACCCGGACCTTAAAAAACTAAACAAAAAAGATCTAAAAATGAAGCAACATCTTTATTTTTTGACATTTTTATTCTACTCTGGACGACCTTCAAACTAATAAAGTCCTTAAAACAGTGACTCAGAGCTTCAAGAACGGGCCAATTAATCAATTAATCTCTCTTAATTTATTAATTAGAAATAAAATAACAGCTTAAGTGATTTTTAAACATTACAGTAAAGATGACAAAGCTCACTAACTTCCCAGCTTTGCATTTTACTTCACATCTTTCTGACATTTTGTGATGATCTGAGGAAACAGTTAAACGATGAGGATTAATGATAATAATTATCTCTACAGCGACTATAAACCGTACCGTCGATGGTTGGGGGATAACTGTTAAAACGCCCTCCGGTTGTAACCGTTGGTTTATTTAATTCCCTCCTTTTTGTTTTGTTTTTCACAGACATTCAAGTGCAGGATGAGAGCAAATCGTGTGCAAACGCTGAAACAAAGGCAGCGCGCGAGCCAAAACGTAGAATCAACGTTGAGCTCGTGGTAAGAACACATGAAATAACAGGCGGGTTGACACTCGGCGCACCGCAGACACATTTCCTGGCACGTCACGCCAGGCCTCGTCTTCCTGTAACGTATACGCTGTGTGAGTGTCGACAGCAGCAGCAGATAGTGGCAGCAGATATGTAAAGTAAGTTGGCGGCTACGTACACACACACACGCTGCCTCTATATATATATATGGGGCATATATATATATAGGAGGGAGTATTAGCAACACCTTTAAGTGTATTGCAATCCAGCTTAGCACCACAGCCCACCGTGACCTCGGCGACCTCTGGGAATGTGCACGCTGCTTTGGCTGATTGAATTCAGCTGTTGTATTGGATTCTCAGGAATAAACAGACGAATCCCTGGAAGCCTGAACAAGAGGCATGAATACAATCATTCTACTAACATCTACATACTCGGTTTCACCAACATCTCTGGTTCCATCGTGGGTTTCATGCACCAGATGAACGGTGGTGCTAAAAACAGGCCGTACCTGGAGTGGAGCTGCTTCGTTAGCTGCTGAGCGGTCCGAGTGACGTGTACAACCATCCTGGATGAGTGGGTTTCAATTACTACAGGCGCTCGGATGAACCCAACAGCCAGCATCCTTGTGTGTTTTGTACTTTTAATAGTTTGTGGTGGTGTAAGCGGAGCTCCGTGCCTCCGACCCAGGACGTCAACAGATTCTTCACCTGAGACTACCTGCGGCTCAGGCCGGCTGTTTACCGTCAGCGCGCTCACAAAGCGCTCTGCTGTTATCACACTTGACCCGAGTAAAAAGATCCTTTTTCTTGCTTCCTTGTAAATTCTGCTCATCATCTGTTCCCACACTTCCCCAAAAGGCCAGAAACCACCTGCAGGCTAAATTTAGTCCTTTCCTTACGGGACCTGAGGGAGGTTAGGAGGGACACGGAGCTTTACTGGATCCTTCTAATTTTATACTCTCCTGGCGTCATAATGAATTCATGTGGAACTATTTTGCTCTTCTCCTGTGTTTCCTTTAGTCAGTAGTAGTTGGA